AAGGTAATTACGCTTACCACTACACCACCGATGCTGCTAGACCTACAGTCTTTGAAGAGCATTGAATTTTTAAACAGTTGGAGATCCTCAGAACTTGATCAACCTAAAGTCTTGGAAAAATATTCTTCGTCTGTATGGAGATCTTTTTAATATTTCCTGCTGTCTAGGAAGGATGAGTAAAAGAATATCCTGTAACTTATGCAACGTTTCCTCGTCAAAATCGTCATGGGCAACATGAACGCTCAGGTAGGACGGTGGAAGCGAACCAGCCTCAGGCTGAAAGCCTCCTTAATAAAGATGAATCAATCAATCAAACAGGTAGGACGGGAGGCAATGTATAGACCGGCAATCGGGCCAAACAGCTTGCATGCCGTATCGAACGACAACGGCCAACGATGCGTAAACTTTGCAGCCTTTCAGGGTATGGTAGTTCGAAGTACCTTTTTCCCCCGCAAGGATATCCACAAAGCCACCTGCAGATCACTTGACTAACACACAGAAAACCAAATCGATCACGTTCTAATCGACGGGAAATTCTTCTCCGACATTATCAACGTCCGCACGTACCGCAGTGCGAACATAGATTTGGACCACTACCTAGTTGCAGTATGCATGCGCTCAAAACTCTCAACGGTGCATAACACCCGTCGAAGTCGAACGCCGCGACCCAATATTGAGCAACTACGGAACGCCGGAGTTGCCCAGGACTACGCGCAGCTTTTTTTTTTTTTTTTTTTTTTCTTTATTTTTGTGATTTTTAGCCGTAGGCTAGTTCATCACATAGCGTACGCGCAGCAGCTAGAAGTTGCACTACCCACGGAAGAACAGCTTGGCGCAGCTTCTCTTGAAGATGGCTGGAGGGACATCCGTTCAGCCATAGGTAGTACTGCTGCAGCGGCACTAGGTACTGCAATCCCGGACCGAAGAAATGACTGTTAGTAGAGAAGAAGCATGCAGCATGGGCGAGAATGCTGCAACACCGCACGATCACACTGCTGAGCGCCGCCTACAAGGTACTCTCCCAAATTATATGCCACCACCTGTCACCATTTGCAAGAGAGTTCGTGGGGCAATACCAGGCGGGAGTCATGGGTGCCCGCGCTACCACGGACCAAATTTTCGCGAATCGGCAGGTTCTGCAGAAATACCGCGAATACAACGTGCCCACACATCATTTGTTCTTCGATTTCAAATCCGCATACGACACAATCGATCGAGATCAGCTATGGCAGATTATGCACGAGTACGGATTTCCAGATAAACTTACGCGATTGATCAAGGCGACAATGGATCGAGGGATGTGCGTTGTTCGAGTATCGGGGACACTCTCGAGTCCCTTTGAATCTCGAAGGGGGTTACGGCAAGGTGATGGACTTTCGTGTCTGCTATTCAACATTGTGTTAGAAGGTGTGATCAGAAGAGCTGGGATAGACACGAGTGGCACGATCTTCAGGAAGTCCATCCAGTTTCTTGGCTTCGCCGATGACATCGACATCACGGCACGGAACTTTGAGACGATGGCTGAAACGTACATCAGACTGAAGGCTGAAGCTTGGTGGATTGGACTTGCCATCAACGCATCAAAGACAAAATACATGAAAGAAAGAGGTTCTAGGGAAGACAACGTTAGCCTCCCATCCCGAGTTCAGATTGACGGTGACGAAATCGAGGCGGTCGATGAGTTCGTGTATTTGGGCTCACTGGTGACCACCGAAAATGATACCAGCAGAGAAATTCAAAGACGCATTATGGCAGGAAATCGTGCCTACTTTGGACTCCGGAGGACACTCCGGTCACGGCCCCACGAAGTTGACTATCTACAAGACGCTGATTAGACCGGTGGTCCTCTACGGCCACAAGACCTGGACTATGCTCGTGGAGAACCAACGCGCCCTTGGTGTTTTCGAACGGAAGGTGTTGCGTACCATCTACGGTGGAGTGCAGATGGATGACGGAACGTGGAGGAGGCGAATGAACCACGAATTGCACCAGCTGCTGGGAGAACCAGCCATTGTCCACATTGCAAAAATTGGGCGACTACGGTGGGTTGGGCACGTCGTAAGAATGCCGTACGACGACCCAGTGAAAATGGTTCTAGAAAGCGACCCAACAGGAACAAGAAGAAGAAGCGCACAGCGGGCAAGGTGGATCGACCAAGTAGAAGGTGACCTGCGAGACTACGAGGCTGGCGAAGTGAGGCCATGGATCAAGTAGAGTGGAGACGACTTCTTCGGACAGCAGAGGACAACAAGGGCTTAGCCTGATTGATAAGTTAAGTTATGCAATGTTTCCTGGACATCTACAAAACTCCCTTAAGTTTTAATAAATTTCCTCAACTTCTGTGAAATTCCCTGAATTTATTACAAACTCCACATATTTTTCAATCTCTCTTAATTTTACGAAGATCTCTGAACATCTTTGCACTTCTGAAAAGGCACCTTTCATCTGTAAAGTTCCCAAAACCTCCAAGAAGTTCATGGAGGTTTTTCGAATTAAGATCTCTGACAAACTGCAACGAAGTTCCCTATCCCTGAAGGTCCTAGAAGTTTATTGAACTTAAGATCTTCCGCGAAATTCCCTGAACTTTTTCAATTTCCCTACGCTTACATGAAGTTTTAAGCAGCTTCTCAAAACGCTACATGCTACAATTAGCAAAACTTCTATAAAGTTTGCTGTACTTATACGTTTCTCGTTAATTTTCCGCGAAGTTCCACGAACGATTTTTTTTTGAATTTGTAGGTAATTTTCACAACTATTCGAAGTCCATGAGGCTTCAAAAAAGTGCCCTGGAATTATATAGAGGTTCAATAATGAGCTTCCCAGAAATAAAATAATGTTCCTTTAACTAAGCATATCAAACTTAAATTAATTTTCCACTTCTACGCAGTTAACTGAACTTTTCCAATTTCCTTGTTTCTACGAATTTGTCTGTAGAACTATGAAGTTTCCAGAATTTCTAATAAGTTTCCTCAATTTCTACGATGTTCCCTAAACTTCTTAGAAGTCCTTGAAGTTTTACGAAGTTCCCACAAGTTAAAGAAAAATCCCTGTTCTCATGGTCAATTTGTAGAGCCTAAAGACGCATTTTTGATTAAATATTGATGTAATATAATTTCTCAAAATTGCTCCGATCAGAACATAAGATGTTGACATAAAGGACTTAAAAAATAGTATCATCGAACTTGACTACCTTGAAAAAATACCGGTGAATAAAATAAAATGCCAAACATTTGCATTTGATAATTCTGGAGGGGGCGTGGCCCGCCTTAGCTACGCCAATGCTCATTTGCTGTAGATTTGCGGAGCCGATATTCATTGTTTAGATCACAAAATTACTTAAGCTAAATTAGTAAAGAAATGTATGCTTACTTGGTATGAAATCAGTATGCGCATTTTGCTCCGCAGCCTTTTGAAAACAGGTATGTGTCAGCCTTTTCAATTTCAATAATTTTATTAGTTTCGCATATCAATTCTAATATCTAGCTTATAGCCTAATCCATCAAATAAAAGTCATTGCAATTACATATCGATTTACATAGTGATTTAAACGGAGATCTTCTTGAGCATAGGCATTTTACCCTCATCTTCCCAAACTATTTTTTTCCAAACCGGATCAAGCGTACATCATATATTTCTAAATATTCGTTATTCCATCTGGCAGTGCAATTGCATCGACCCTCTCCGATTTGAGCCAAAATTGGTGGGTCTACTTATTGTAGGCTAGAATTCAAAATCCAAAGTTTTGTATCAATTGGCTCTCGGGACTGCCCACCTCCTCCCCGTCCTTTTTGACGATTTTGAATGAACACCAATTTTCAATCTCACTTAACTCTGGACCAAAAATAAAATCAACTGAAAAAACTTAAATAGCGATGGGTGGATGGTACCACCCACCGCATAAATGGAGGGATTACGGTAATCATAAACTCTTTCTGTTGGCAATATTTCATAAAATACTGAGACCCTTCGACCCAAACATATCCGATAATAATAGAAATCCCCCTATGCTTAGCTAGAATAATCTAGAATATATTCTTTAAATCACTGCTAGAGGCCGTCTCAAAAGTTCTCGACGATATGATTAATTCAATACCAAACAAACATACCATCAACTCAATTTTCTCCGCGGATTTTGTGAGAGCTACCGGTTTGCAAATTACTGTCATTCCAAGCTACCAAAATGAAGGACAAAAAGAAGTACGATAACACCTACCCTTCACGTCGACTACCGTTGCCGATCATGTCGGCCGGCCCTAGACTCTGGCCAACCAACAGCCATTAGACATGCTGCAGGAAATAATAAAACTTATCACAAATATTTATAGTTTGTCGCATAGAGAAACGAGAGTTAATAATAATAGTTTTCCCCCCGAAGCAAGTTTGTTCCTGGCTTCAGCAGATTGGTCCCCTACTTTACGACTACATGCAGCTAGGCGGGACTCCGAGTGGGACGACGACGCAGCGAGGACAGTTTGTCCAAGTACTCAGACTGCAAAGGTAAGGCATACGACAGAAAAGACTACCGAAGAAAGTACATGAAAAGTATAAAATCTTTATTGTTGCAAACAAAAAGTGAAGGGGAAGTGGCCTCAATTTGCTTGCCCAGTGATTCGCTGGGGAACCGAGCTAAATAATTGTGGATGAAAGTTTTCCATAAGCTGATAATAATTGTGGCAAGATGTTTGAAGTGGAAGCAGCAGCAAATATTTGTCCTGTTCACGTGATCCAACATTCCAGGAACGTTCAACCCTGTGCTATTAAGTCCCGTCCAAGATACAAACTTTTCTCTCGGCAACCATAACTAATAACTCATATCTGTTGGATAGTCAGCTGAAACAGATAAGTTCATATCGACCGATCCGATGCTAACTTGCTGCAGCCATAAATACATAAATCGATTTCTTCAATTAACCTGCTTCGGGAGTGCAATGTATATGTTATATTTTCTTATACACCTAGTGGAAAGTTTCCAACCTGACCGAAAGCTGATGGTTCTTCTTTCAAACAGTGAGTGGTAGATTCGCTTGGGATAGAAAAACTTTCTCCATATCCGCCTTTTTTCCCGCTTCCCCGGCATGATTCATTGATAACAAACTGAAAATCCTCCAATAATGCACATTAAACTTTTCAGCTGCGAAGTTGCGCAAGGGGCTGGCAATCGGAGCGATCCCTGGTGTGATAATAAAAATTGCTTGATAGGAGAAAGAGGAACTTCGCTGTATGAGCTTACCTGCTGCTGGTGATAGCTTCGTAACAACTCCCCATCGAATTTTCCACTGCAAGTAAAGGAAAGAAGAGAAACAAAATCAGTGGTTAGTCATAGGTGGGAAATGTTTGCAACAGAATCAGCAGATAACGCTTCACTTTATCGATGTGGGTCAACTGTCGAACTTTTCACATGATGATTGCTTTTGGATAATTGAAGCTATACCCACCGTACAACTTGAGGAGTACTCAATCGGCAGTTCTGCTACACGGAGAAACGAAATAACTCAAAATTAAGTCTTTTGTAATCATCTTGACACCTAACTTTAACCAGACAAAATTGAGTTCTTTGCGAAGTATCCATTTTTTAGTATTTAGCAATGACTTCATTTTTTAGTCAAATGTAACTGTTTCATAAATAGTGAACATTGGATAAAAAATACTTAAGACCGGGTTCTTACTGAAGAAATATATTTTGAGAAATTAAGGTTTTAACTGATTTTCTTCTATGTAGCGTATGACAATTTAGCATTAAATAAACAATACAGTAGTTTTATTTATTATTATAGGGGTACAAGGATAGTTTAAACATTTAAATAAGAATAGGTGAGTAACATTTTGGAATCATACAGTTTTTTGAGCTGGTCTCTGTCAGCTTCAAGCAGCCCAACATTTTCCGAGTCAATGCCTCTGTAAGACGATATTCATCGGATTGTGCTAACCGGGGGATCATCGCGGGAGGTAAGTTCCAAGCAAACTCCTTGGATCCACTTTCGGCTCCCAAGACTCCAACTGGTTTGCATAAATGTATCACACTGTAATTATCTAGGTAGACAAAAAGATATAAACAGCAATCAACCTACGAAGCAGAGTCGAAAAACTAAAACGTCCTTACCTTCACTGATCCTCTACCCTCAAATACTGAGTGATGAGCACTTCACTAAAAATTGAATCATCAACTGGCGGAGGCCGCTGCGCTTGTAAAAGATCGTTCTGCCTGACTCAATTAATGGAGCAAGGATAACGAATGCCTCTCCCCAGGTTCCAGATATTTTTGGTCTGCATGGAGATCTAAGATAAAAATTAAGTTTACTGTATGTTTACCACCTTCATCGATTACTTTATTCCGTACAGTTTGAGACACTAATTTCACCTCGGATTTCACCAATTTATTAACTTTTCACTTGAATTATCACGGACCTGACTATTTGCAGACGAACAAGCTGAAATAAAAATGACGCACGTTACGATTTTTCATCCAACATGAAATGCAAACGCCACACTTGATTTTGGATACTTTTGTAGCGCGGAAAACAAAAAATCACAAAATCGAGCTTAAAAGTCCTCAAAAAAAAAAAAGAACTCTCTCAAGACTACTGTTTGAGTAAAATTAATGAAAAGTAAGTGTTCTGGTTATACTTCAAGCTTAAGTTAAAAGTACTAATCAATGAGAACAAAATTTCACCCAAAACAGTAGTGTTGGCGGAGTACTTATTTTTAAATACTTTCTTTCTCGATTTTAAATTGCTTCGTTTTTCCATGTAGTACGCTCTGTAACAAGGTTATAAATATACAATAAAAAATATAAATAAAAAAGGAAACCTACACAGCTAAAAAAAGTAGTGTAAATTTCCGTTACTATGATGCACATAAATGGAGCGTCATAAATCATACAAATTTACATTATAAATCGTGTAAATTTATGAGACATGTCATGCAATATTCCATATATTGTATGCAACTTTCCACCTTTGTTTGCAACATTTCTTGCAAGCTGCTAGTTTACGTGAAAAGGAAGTTTACATGCATGAATATTTGCATGCATAGATGTTTACATCACCAGTAAAATTCAGATTTTTTTAGTGTGTCAGAACCCTATTGAAATACTATCTTCACTAGACTTATTCACGTTCCTCGTCTCTGGTTTCAAACCGACAAAGAACGTCAAACAAGGAATTTCATATGACAATAGAGATTTTCACGTCCGGTTGTATTGGTGTGATATGTGAGAGCGTGTTAGTGAATGTCCGAGGAAAATACATAGCAAATCGATGTCAAACTCATTTTGACAGATCTACTTTCATGCATTTTTTAGGTTAGCCAGAGGAAAAAATAATAAACAACTTTACACGGCGTTGCTTCCGCTAGTGTGCGAGCCAAACGTCACTAATCTCAATTGGTAGGTAGAGTTTATGCCATCGGATAAACTCGTCCGAATGTGTGCATGTATAGAAACCGAACTCCAACAAGGTAGACTTCAGGTTCGTTTACGAGTCGAGATGAGAAAGACCGCCCAATTCGAGTCTTGTTGGTTCCAACTGCGTGAAGATCTAGATCGGGTGTTAAAGAAGTGAGATTAGAGGAAAACGGCCTTCAAAAAAGTTAGCGAGTTTGGTTTATTGTTCTGGAAATTTGACGTTGGTTTAAATTCCTCAAAGAACAACAGGCATTTGAGGTGTACGAGGAATACACGTTTGTGAGCTAGTATTTGGTTTAAACCCTTCAAACAAGGGTGCACCCCTCGGGATGGAAAAGCAGAACCGTCCGATAACGTTTACCAGACCGACTTGAGCGAACGTCAGAGTCCACTTGTTCGGACCGAACCCCAACTGTTTTACGCCTCCCGACGATACCAGGTGTTGAGGTGTAAACCGTGGTGGAAGCTTCGTTCACACCGATCGGAAGCTCTACATACCCCACGCTGCTGAGTAATCTGCTAGCTCCTGTCATCGTCCTTGAAAGCTCGATGACGCAATACCCAACACCCGCAGTTGGTGGCAAACTACCACCCACTGGCGTATCGGAAAATCGCCAAAACCACACATTCAGTAACAACAACAGGTCAGATAAATTTAAGCAAACTCCTGAAAATTGAACACACCCTACTAATCCCATCATCGATTCAAGAAAAAAAAACAGCTATACAACACACCTGAAAAACCTTTTCTTTCTTGGCACGCCATAGACCCTAGGAGTTAGTTAACGAGATCAGAACCGTAGCTTTTGTTTTAAGGATGGATTGGATTTTTTGTTTGCGTTTCGTTTAGTTTCCCCTGTAGGAAAGTAGAGGAAACCATAGGAAACCTCTCTTACCGCTATGCAGTCTCGATAAAATAGTGTTTTTGACGTGAGACTTCGCCTGTGATTTCTATATGGGAGTACACTTTGTGAAAACCAAAAATGGAACATGTAACGAAATTATGAAAGATTTTGAACGTTAATAACTCAGCTGCCCGTGGACCAATTTCTATAATTTTATCTCCAATCGATTAGAAATATTTCCATGCATCGAGTGTTAAACCTCTGACTGTTTATTTTCGACAAGAAATTATTGTAAAGATGGTAAATGTTAGGAACTGTACAAAAGCTTTGAAATGACTAAGAAATCCACCTGTTACGTACATGCAAATGCTGCTTCCCCAACACTGTCATCAGAGCGTCGTTAGTAGACGAAACAAGTCGAAGTAGCATTCGCCTCCGATCTTCGAGCTTGTGCGATTAGGGAGGATGCAATTGCGTAACATTTTGCACACTCATAGCCATATTCAGAACCACACTCCCCAAACGACCACACAAAATGCTATCCACAGTTGCAATCTTGTAACCAAACTTGGAAGCAGGGGTGCAAGTGATTTTGATCGATTCCCTTCATCGACTTTCTGTTTCGTTAATAACTCGACGGCAAACACATTCATCGATACGTTTGTTGTTCTGGATGATAGAAGAGCATAGCTGTCCAGGGCTGAAAGTCTCCTTAATAAAGATAAAAAAAAAGAGCATAGCAGAAATAGTGTGAAGTAGGTTAGTGAAGCCATGGTCATCAAAAGAGGAAATCGTTGAAGAGAATTGACTTTCATCCCTCTGCTTCTAAGGCCCTCAATTCAGTCGTCAGCTGGGTGGACACTGATATTCTGTGGCCTTCAAACTTGTCGCAGACATCAGTTCACCCCAGTCCAGCAGCAGACGGGTCGAAAGTCTTGCGAGTGCCCAATAATTAAAACGAATAATATGGGATTGTCCGGTCCGATTTGCAGATTCAGCTGCCTACACGTCATCATCATCTTCCAAAAACCTTAAAGCCTGTACTACCATCGGCTCTTTTCAGGGTTACCAAGATTTTGCAAAATATTAAAATTTCTGAACATGTCCCAACTAAAATTCATATCAAAAGGTTCATTCAGGGCAATCATAGTCATACTAAAAAGAATAAACTGTAGAAATTCGTTGTAGTGTGCCACCATGTTGAGCCGTATTGTAGGTAGTTCTGCATCACCGTGTTGTTGGTAGTTCTGCATCTGGTTTGCCACCGAGCATCGCGTTTGTTCTTGAACCGCCGTATCGTTATTGGTCCTGATGACGGCCTCCACATCGGCAATGAGATGATACATCGGAACTTCGGACAGATTTTTGTGTGGTACTGCGAGCCAAGACTCAGAAGATGTTCCACATCCCCCGGCAGCGCAACGTTATCCGATAGACGGTACTTGGTGTCAGCTTGTACCGGTCCCTGATTTCAGCTTCGGTAAATTTCAGGTCGAAGTTTAGTAGGCCCCTGATGACCTTTTCTCACCGAGAATGTCGTGGGTGAAGAATTCCACCTTGGAACTCCTCAGGTGGGTGACGACCACGTCCTACTCAGCTGTTGTATGGAGCACCACCTTGATGCTTACTCTGCCCAACTTGAATTTGGTTTTGACGCTCAGCGACGCCATATCTGCGATTAGTTCGTTAAGATTGACATTTTTCACTACCAACAGAGGTAGCTTCACTTTTGCCGCACTCATTTCGGCAGCATTTTCGGTTCCGGAAGTGTCACTGAAATCTCCAACATCACTGCCGTTCGTCGCTGTGACATCGTCACGACCAATCGTGCCATCGGACTGGCCCCGATTCTTCTTCCTCTTCTTTCTGCGTTTTCAGTCATAGCTGGCTGGGTATTCCCATCGATGGGAAGAAAAGCAAACCTGTTGGATGTAGGTACACCCGAGCTTCCTTCCCTGGGGTCCTTGTCCTTCACCGGGCTTCGCGAGTGATGCTTCCCCATTTCGGAGCACACACATACACACAAACA